ATTACTTTGCGTATGGATCATAGCGAACTTTGGGATGGAAGCATGCGGCACTTTCCATCACAACATTGGGAGATTGAGCGGGAACAGACTTAGAATCTATGTAGCCGCATTACGTCGCCACCACCACAATCCTTGCCTATGCTTGTCACAATCGGATTCCTTAACTTTAAACAGTAAAAACTACGCGGTTTGTTACATCCGAATAAAAAGTGCACGGTACTGCTCCTCCGAGGCGTCAATCGAACAAGGAATCTGACCACTCTGCGCAAAATGTAGGGAGTGATACCTCCAACTGAGTGAATTAGAGTATTGATTGGCTATTAAAGGGGATTCTTTTGTTCAATTAAGCTTTTGCTGCCATCGTACTGCTTCTTTCTTTGTTCATCATCATTCCCAAATATTGTTGATAATTGTTTTAAAATGGCGAATCGTTGGTGGATGTGAAATCCCCTGCCTACCATATTATCCATTACTGTTGTTTATACGGCTGCTCACACAGAGCAGTAATTGTATTTATTTTACCAAGGTACTATTTTTGTTATCTGGGCTTTAAATACAAAATCTATTTACTTATAGTTATTTACACACATTAGAACTAGTAGGTCAATGTGAAAAGCTATTCAGTCAAGCACACGTTAGAGGTTGAATGTGTTAAGTCTTGAAAAAAATAATTAAGTGAGCAAAGTTGGTCTCCGTAATAAGAGATCTATTGGAAAACGGCACTCAGGCTGGCCTGTGCCCCCGTGTCTTAACTAAGGCACCCGTGATTATACAAATAATGGTATATGATTGCGTTCTTCATGCTTAATCTATTCTTTGATGCCCATGTAAACTTTAGAAACATCAAGAATCCCGTGACAAGTCCTACGTCACGATAGTCCCGTTTGCAGGGTTATTGCAGGTATATATGGATATCCACCTCACGAATGAGCGTCAGTTTTAACGGTACGAGAATAACATCTACCAGCACGTAAAATTTGGCCTGCAAAATCTGCTTCAGGTAAACTTACCTTTGCATCGCACACTCGACATGGACAAATCATAGTATCGTGATATTATGAACATTTTCTCCTACACTAACGACTCTGAGTCATGTCCGGATTCTTTTATTCATCCTAGAAGAGAAACTGAAAACTACATTTTTCCAGTGGTTATATTCATCTCCGCAACTCTCTTCCTGGCGGAATGATATTTAGCCTTCTGAAAGATGTCAACGGCGTTCCATATCCAAGCAGAATTGCAATACAAATTCTAGAGGACTTTTTATTTGTTGTGCATTTACTGATAATATAGACCTTATAATACAAAACATTACTTCACACATTCCACTTTCATTGTTTCATATATTGTTCAGAGAGACATGAGGCTATTAGCATTTTACCAAATTGAGTCTGCACTCTTCGGAATCACATCAGTTCCTTGTCTATTATTCACCTGTTGAAGTAGGAGCAGCAGTGAAAGACTGCCGCTTAACAAGAAGTTATTTAGTTTCCAAGTGCAACTAAGCGCAAGTTTAAAGAGTAAATTGCTGTTACACTGCTCCAATACGTGGCACATTTTATAATATTCAGTCGAATTTCAGGAAATTGTACCTGTTTTTGACAAACCACGCAGCACCATGTCCGCCACCACCAGCACTGACAAAATAACGAACACTTGCAGCATCAGAGTTTGCTATATGTATTGGATACTTCCAATATTTATCACGTTATACTCGTGCCACTTTCGACGGGTCGACCCAGTACTAAACTATAGAACATGAAAAAACCCACAGTACTTAAAAAATACAGTTAGTATCAAGATAAATGTAAAAAAACATGGCTCTGTCGAATAGGTGCGATGATGGTTAAAAAGCATGGATGGAAGACCTCGGTACTCTGACATACCCAGAAAGACTGATCAAGCTCAGTTTGTTCCACCTATCCTCTAAAAAATTGAGATGCGATTAATGTGACCATTCCGTTTTATCCATTGACGTGGCTGTTTGTTCGAATCTGAAGGCTCCTCTGAATTTAAAACGAGTCTCCAGGACATTAATTTATGTAAAGTCAACAACAAATGCAGGTGTCTAAACCAATTGATATTTTTTTTCAGGTAGTGGTATTTCGAGCGCGGAACATGCTCCCATGCGAAAAGTCGGGACGGATATCATGGATATGTTAAAACGCGTTAAGACCCGTTCCTGGTACTTCTGATTAACATGAACGCTGAAACAAAGAGCCCGTGAGAGAGACAGAGGAAAGACCAGTCGGCCAGACATAGAGTGCGTTTACCCAGACAAGCACGTTACAGCAAGTCAGCGCAAGTCCTGGAGCGTAACTAGTACAACATATTTAGAGCAACAAACGAATGTAAAACGTTGTCCATCGGGCCAATCAACTTCTGTCTTGGCTTGGCTGGCAGCATGATTGGCTTGCAACTCAGCGGCAGGCTGCAGCTTAAATGTCAAATTACCGATTGATTGACTGCAGGTTTGCGTTCGCTCGCGTGTAGCCTGCCTTGAGCGCGGCTGCTTTCTGAATGTACCAAACACCTCCACTTCAAGTCTGTCAGTAACGCCTATGCCATGGATTGATCTGTATGCGCTGCGGTGTTTGACGAGCATGGTTGGCCCGGCGTGTTGTAAGCGGTTTCAGGTCTACTGGTGTGGGGCCAGGAACTCGTTTCGAAAGCGGTACATCCGAAGGGGCTGCAGGAGTCGGTTCGAGGACTGACTGA